CACTAGAGGGCAGTGAGAGAAGACTAACTCTAGAGGCAGTGAGAAGAGACCTAAACACTAGAGGCAGTGAGAGACAACTAACACTAGAAGCAGTGAGAGAAGACTAACACTAGAGCAGTGTTGAAATCAACTACACTAAAGGCAGTGAGAGAATACTAACACTAGAGGCAGTGAGAGAGACCAACACAAGAGGCAGTGATGAGAAACTAACAGTAGAGGCAGTGAGAAAGACTAACACTAGAGGCAGTGAGAGAAGACTAACACTAGACAGTGTGTAGTACAAACTAACACTAGAGGCGTGAGAGAAGACTAACACTAGAGGGCAGTGAGAGAAGACTAACACTAGAGGCAGTGAGAGAAGACTAACACTAAGAGAGGCAGTGAGAGAAGACTAAGCACTAAGAATGCAGTGAGAGAAAGACTAACACTAGAGGCAGTGAGAGAATACTAACACTAGAGGCAGTGTTGTAGTAAGCAACTAACACTAGAGCAGTGAGAGAAGACTAACACAGAGGCAGTGAGAGAAGACTAACACTAGATGCAAGTGAGAGAAGACTATAACACTAGAGGCAGTGAGAGAAGACTAACCCAAGAGGCATTTAGAAGAGAAGACTAACACTAGAGGCAGTGAGAAGAAGAACTAACCAGAGGCAGTGAGAGAATAATAACACTAGAGGCAGTGTTGTAGTAGCAACTAACCTAGTATTGATAATGGTACTTAGTGGAGTGTAGTGACTTTCATAAGTTTCTTTTTTCTTGAAATACCAGACGTATACTGTTGAATTCATATAACTGTAGTTACCACGGTCGCAATATTACACAACCAGAAGCAATATTACTACAGAAAAAGCGTCACATTCGCCCAGTCCTGACGTGATTCACGCTCATTTATCTGTCTATCATGTATTAAGAATTTACCCCAGAATAATGCATGGAAATAATTGACTCTGTCCCTGACTTTTTTGTGTTATCCTAGTTCCTTAACACATATGCTGCTATTATGATAATTCTATGTAACTGTATTTGTGTATACCTGAATAAACTTACTTACTTAACCCTTGCAATTTTTTTTAACTCATCACCAAACTATCACCATAACTCGTAGCGTGTGTTAGTGTTGCTTGAGTAAGTACGAAGGTGACGTGGTGAACCCTCACCCCCATAGGATGCCAGGCGGGGGCAGTAAAACACATAAACAACAAGGTAGGTACATCCTGCTGTGAAACATGGCTCTGGTATTGGCGGTTGCGTTGTTATTGTTGCAGTAAGGAGTAGGATGGTGTTTTGGTGGGTAAAAACGGACTTTTTTTTTATAAGGTACTTTTCCTGCAGAGAAGCAGGAAGAGAGGGTTTTTAGATGAGGGGTAGATATATAGAGGGAGAGATGCCAGGGTTATAAAAGACTGTGTAGCTGTTTTTCGGTAAATGTGAGTCAATTTAGACAGGTGTCGGTAAGGTCACCTGCTGCAGTGTCCTGCCAGGCTGCACAACAAGGTCTAACTTTGTTCAGGAATACACAACTACAGTTACATAGATAATCATACATAGCAGCATATGTGTATAGAGAACCTGAGATAACCCAAAAAATCAGAGTGACTTATTACCATTTGTGTGGTTTGGTTGCCTCCACCGACAACATTACATAATATAAAAATCAAATGTGCAGATAAGAAATTTTATAAAAATGACACAAAACAAATTTATAAAATAATTGAAAAGACGATGATAAAGATAAAATAAGTTAAAAACACAAGCATTAATGAAAATAAAAAAAAATATATATATGAATACTAAATTTATATCATTGTAACATCCTTGAAATGTGAAACTGCCGAAATTTTCTTAACTATTTTTATGGCAACCGTGATGAATCGGGCTATTTTCCTGTTACTTTTCTCTAAGAACAGTTTCCAGAAATATTGTATCTCCCAGATAATTTATCAAAGTCAACACACGAATGATGCAGACATCTTTACGTTGGCGTCCTATTGACGGAGATGTAACTGGTGACCACACTTATGTTAGGACTTTCTAGGATCCTCCACTTTCCTGCTTCGTCCTCCCACACGGGAGGGACAACTGGTGACCACACTTAATTAGGACTTTAGCTAGATACGGTGGGGCCACTGTACCTGCTTCGTCCCCACACGAGGACAACTGGTGACCACACTTATGTTAGGACCTTTCCAGATACTCCACTTTTCCTGCTTCGTCCCACACGGGAGGACAACCGTGATTGACCACACTTATGGTTAGGACTTCTTCTAGGAAACTCCACTTGACTGCTTCGTCCCCACACGGGAGGACAACTGGTGACCACACTTATGTTAGGACTTTCTAGGATACTCCACTTTCCTGCTGCTTCCCCACAAACGGTAGGAACAACGCAGCGTTTAATTATTGCAACCAGTTTATTGATAACATGCGACAGAAACTGTAGAACGAATTTACGTAGGCTATAAGTGCACTCCTTGATTGACCAGCGTCCGTGGATCGATCCCAGACGGGTGAAACGTTGGCATGTTCCTTAAACTGTTGCCCATTTCCATCTAATAGTAAGTAGGTACCGGTGTCAGACGACTATTACGGTCTATCCTGGGGAAAAAAGAAATAATAAAGGGGTGGACCGGTAATCCAGCGGAAGGCGGCCTCGGTCAGATGAACCCAAAGCTCCAATAGAACGGTCCATCATCTAAGAACCCGCGTTCCAGGAAACCTTGTCCTGTAACCTGACGAGCCTTACCTAACCTAACCTGGGAAACAAGATTAAATAATCTGCCCGAAATGTTCTACTAGACCAGTGGCCTGTATAGTATGTAACTCATAGCTTATCTCTTAACCTAGTGTCGCAATGGAAGTAGTAACGCAAGAGATCATTTTTGTTAATTGTCTTGCGGAAAGAAACTTCAAAACTATGGCAATCATGTTATTGCACAAGACATTAATGAACGGGAGTTGTTAGTCTTTTTTTCCACTCTAGAGTAAAGCCGGCGGACGGCTCAATACTGGTGAGCTCGTAGAGTAGATCCAGAGTACTAGACCTCCTAGGATAAGTGATTAAAATATTGTCCATGTTAGGTTACGTTAGGTTATTGGGGTTGATGGATCGGAAACACTCACCCTCCAGGTGTTTCATTCCAAATATTTACCAAAATGGCACTGCTGGATGAACCCGTGGCCATCCCGTGGCCATCCCATGGCCATCCCGTGGCTGTGCCAAAACATTGCCTGCAACCTTTCTCCTCGAATTTGAAATAGAATTGATACAATTTCATTCGGTCTAGGACATCAGTTATGTTTAAGGACAATTAAAATACTTATGACTGCGGCCCACCCATGCTTGCTGCTTATGGTGGCCCACCCATGCTTGCTGCTTATGGGTGGCCCACCCACATGCTAGCATATGGTGGACCCACCCATGCTTGCTCTTATGGTGGCCCACCCATGCTTGCTGCATATGGTGGCCCACACCCATGCTTGCTGCTTATGGTGGCCCACCCGATGCTGCCTGCTTATGGTGGCCCACCCATGCTTGCTGCTTATGGTGGCCCACCCATGCTTGCTGCTTATGGTGGCCCACCCATGCTTGCTGCTTATGGTGGCCCACCCATGCTTGCTGCTTAAGGTGGCCCACCCACCCTGCTTGCTGCTTAAAGGTGGCCCGACCCATGCTTGCTGCTTATGGGGGCCCACCCATGCTTGCTGCTTATGTGGCCCACCCATGCTTTGCTGCTTAATGGTGGCCCACCCATGCTTGCAGCTTATGGTGGCCCCACCCATGCTTGCTGCTTATGGTGCCCACCCTGCTTGCTGCTTATGGTGGCCCACCCATGCTTGCTGCTTTATGGTGGCCCACCCTGCTTCCGCTTATGGTGGCCCACCCATGCTTTTGCTGCTTTTGGTGGCCCACCCATGCTTTCTGCTTATGGTGCCCACCCATGCTTTGCTGCCTTATGGTGGCCCCACCCATGCTTGCCTGCTTATGTTGCCCCACCCATGCTTGCTGCTTATGTGGCCCACCCATGCTTGCTGCTTATGGTGGCCCACCCATGCTTGCCGCATTATAGGTGGCCCACCCATGCTTGCTGCTTATGGTGGCCCACCCATGCTTGGCTGCTTATGGTGGCCCACCCATGGCTTGCTGCTTAAAAATTTTTTTTTCAATATTTATTCAAAATACAAAGTTTCTTTAATAAACTAAACATTATTATTAAAATCAAAACTAAGCATTATACCCACAAGGGTCAAAAAATTAACAATACTACTATAATTCATGGCATAAATGCTATTTACCTAATTCCAGTATGCAAAAACTATCCTTTATATAACCATTAAACTTATACCATGAAAAAGCAATTATTTAATTAATTTTGTTGTATTTAGTGTGACAAGACTACTTGGTATCCTAAAGCAGTTACAACTTCACAAACAGTATTACAATTACAACAAATTGTAACAATCAATAACACGGAATGTAAGAAAATTATACAGTAAGCCCCCAACATTTTAACCATAATTATCCTAAGGATGGATGCCTCAATGCTGGTGAAGAACACTATCTGATATTTAAATATAATAAATCAAATTATTATGAGGGATTGCTAAACCTATAGGTGTAATTATTGTACAACACCTTAGGAAGGAAAGATTATCAGGTTTAAGGGTAGAACAGGGTCATACAGCTCAAGGAATTAGGACTACCCTCACCTGCTTTAACCCAATATTTTCCTATTCCCCATGTGCTATATGTCTCCTATGGGTTTAGCATTTCCCCTATCATATATTAAAAATAGCCATTACATGTATGGCTTTTCAAATAACTAAATTTAAACTGTTAAAACTTCTTGGAGAAATGTTACTTGTTAGATAAAATGAACAGGTTAATTCACAGAGACAAGATGTTCCAGAGAGGGGACACAGAAACAAGGGGTCACAATTGGAAGCTGAAGACTCAGACGAGTCACAGGGATGTTAGGAAGTACTTTCTCAGTCACAGAGTCGTCAGGAAGTGGAATAGCCTAGAAAGTGATGTAGTGGAGGCAGAAACCATACATAGCTTTAAGACAAGGTATGACAAAGCTCAGGAAGCAGAGAGAGAGGACCTAGTAGCAATCAGTGAAAAGGCAGGGCCAGGAGCCGAGTCTCGACCCCTGCAATCACAATTAGGAGAGTACAGATTTTTTTAAAAGAAAAATTAACATTTTAGTTCTATTCCTATACAGTTCTTAATTTGGGCTCAGTTTTGTGTATAGTATTAAGTAAATAACTTCACAGTTCTCCAAGGTCAGTGTCACAAGTGGTCATGCCTGTCCTGAACTGTTTTGAGGGATAAGTGGGAGGTTGTTTAATTCATGTTAAGCACTAAACCCATTTGAATCATTCAGTGCAAGATATGGTGGAGGCTCAATCCTCCGTCTGCCGAGTGAGAGACGGACGTTTCTCCCACTGAACCTCCACTCTCTAGAAAAGCACAGAATTAGTGGGGATACGACTGAGGTGCATAAATGAAATACAGGAATAAAGGGGATACCATTATAGTACTAAAAATATTTAGCCAACACAGGACTCTCTACAATAGGTTAATGTTGGAAAAATTTAGATTTAGAAAGAATATAGGAAAACATTAGGTTAGCAGAGTTGTGGACGAGTGGAACAAAATCGTGAGTAGCGTCACTGAAACTTTGTATAGCTTTAAAAATAAGTTAGACAAGTACATGGGTGGGTGAGAGTTGGACCTGGGACCTGCTTAGCTTGGGCCAGGAGGCCTCCAGCAGTGCTCCTTTCTTACGGTAACTTGTCCGGTGCACCAGCACCGGACAAGTTCCCATAAGGGTCGATCAGATTATGATTGTGACTCAATAAAAAGAGGCAGGAGGCACTGTAACAAAACTAAGACCTAGATACTCTCAAACTGTTTTATAGAGTATGCAAATAGCTCTCAGAATTATATTTTATTATAAGAATAGCAAAAATGTGAGGGCTTGCAGTACTTTAAATGAATCAGTAACTTAATAAATGTTACATACACTATAAATTAGTTTTAAATGTAAAACAAAAATGGAGATTTTATAGAAAAAAATGCCTAGCTCGTAGGTAACATGCATTATATAATACATATTCAGTACATGCATTATATAATACATATTCAGTATGTAAGTGATTTCAAATATAAAAGAAAGTTACAATTATTAGCCAGCCAGGCTAAAGTAGAATAAAAAATAATCTTACCAATGCCACTATAAACAAAAAAAAAATTAAAGGTGCATCACTAAAGCTGTTACTTAAAGTAGTGCCTTGCCAAGAGTGAAGTTATTTCTGAAAAGACAAAATGCATAAATTAATAAGGTACACTAAAAAAATCTAGCAGAGAACTTCCCTTGATTATATAAACAATCTTTTACCATGCATAAATTTTTTATACAACAAATGGCATCTGGATCAACTCTGAAAGCCTTCTTTACCACCAGGCACTTTGTCCCTTACAGGTTAAGATTTTCCCCACAAGTAAAATATTTAAATGCTAAGAATCTGAGGGTAGGAATGATGAAAATATGGTAAATATAGTTAGCAAGTGCAGGAATGAGAACAGCAGAAACACAAATAAACGTATTACAGTATAAAACTGTTTCATAAGTTAGGCAAAGAAAACTATCCCTATGAATTCACAGTAAATCATGCCTTTATCCCAGCATATCTCAAGAGAAGCAATAGCATTAAATAGTCATCAAACTGCCTTTCTCTTTTCCAGTCTTTTCCTCGTGTCCCAAAATTTGTGCTGAAAGATGTGGGTACACGTCAGAGAACACAATGTGTTAACCCTTTCATTGTCCAGACCCCCAAAATTTATGTTGCTCTCAGTGTCCAATTTAAAAAAAAAAAAATCTGAAATGGTAGACAATCTTTTTCTGAAGGTAATGACAACAAAAACACAAAATTTGATGGAAAACTTACAGAATTGCACAGGCACAGTTAGTGGTCTTGGCACAATTTATGCATCAGCACTTTCACCCACATTTTCTTAGCTATTTTGCTAGTGTGCCTTCTGTTCTACTGATTGAGCAAGAAACCACTCATTTAACTATTTCAACCACTCTAAAGTACACAGTACTGTGTACAAAGTACACAGAATTCAGTAATTTTGGCCAATTTTACACAAAATTAAAAAAAATACCAATTTAAAAATAGAGCCCATAATAAAGAATGTAGACATTCCTGGCACTAAACACAACACTTCCTCTGTTCATTAATCACATTCCCAGGCCTCTCCTATATTACGACTCTACCTTCCATTTTGAATTTTTATTCATGCAAACATAGAAGATTTGCTCTTTCTCAAATAATAAAATATGTATAACCAGGAAAGATTGGTCATCCCAGTAACTGAATCAGACCTGTTTAATTAAAACCCATAAAACTGACTGGGGTGTTGGGAAGCCTTACTTGCCCTCAGCAAAAACGGTAAAAAATTATTTCCGCTCAATTTTAAGTTACATGTATGTTACTTCCAGTTCTGAAACCAAATAAAATTATCTCTATTTCAGTAATATGCATTCCATCCTATTTAATGGTACCAAGAAAAAAAAAATGTCAATATATTAAACTGTCCACAGGGTCAGTTTTGTTTTTCCCATCATGCACTGCATATGGCAGGATTTTTTTTATAATGTGCACACTCATTCTCTCATATTTAGGGCCAAAATTTACTGCTCACAATTTATGTGAGTGAGCCTAAGGGACCCTGTTCTTAATGACACAGTCCTATGTGACAGCCACTGAAAGGGCTAACATCCCAATATCACCATACTGGACGGATCTGGACATGCTTTGGAATCGAAAGCTAACCCAAAAAGTTTTTTCCAGGTTTATAAAACAAAAGTTAGAGATAAGATAGGTCCCTTAAAAATAACTCTGGGCATCTTACTGACAAGGAGAAAGAAATGTGCTCTATTCTTAATAATTATTTTCTCTCGGTTTTCACTCATGAAGACACTAACAATATCCCAAAATTTATTTTTATAGTGGGCCTGAAGATGATAAATTATGCAATATCACAGTCACTAGCGAAATGGTTATCAAACAGATAGACGGTTAAAGCAAAATAAATCCCCGGGCCCTGATGAACTTTTTTCAAGGGTTCTTAAAGAGTGTAAAATGGAACTTTGTGAACCACTGACTAATATTTTTAATATTTCTCTTCAAACAGGTGGTAGTGTCTGATATGTGGAAGATGGCTAATGTAATTCCTATATTTTAAAGCAGGGGACAAGTCGTTACGGTCAAATTACCGTCCAATAAGCCTAACCTCAATTGTAGGCAAATTACTAAGTCAATTATAGCTGATAATATAAGAAGCCATCTGGATAAGCACAGCTTGATTAATGATACTCAGCATGGATTCATGAGGGGGGCGTTCCTGCCTAACTAATTTATTAACTTTCTTCAGTAAAGCTTTTGAGGCGTTGATCATGATAAAGAATTCGATAACATTTATTTAGATTTTTAGTAAGGCTTTTGATAGAGTACCGCACCAGAGACTGTTAAAGAAAGTGGCAGCTCATGGCATTGGGGGAAAAGTGCTGTCATGGATTGAGTCATGGCTCACCAATAGGAAGCAGAGAGTATGTTTAAATGGGGTTAAATCCGAGTGGGGATCTGTAACAAGTGGTTGTTCCACAGGATCCAGTCTTGGGCCCATTGTTGTTTATAATATATATCAATGACCTTGATGAGGGAATTACTAGTGATATGAGCAAATTCGCGATGACACAAAGATAGGTAGAATAGAATTAATGATTCAAACTTATATGTTGGGAACTTAGGAGGATTTAAACAAACTCAATTCCTGGTCAGAAAAGTGGCAGATGCAGTTCATGTAGATAAATGCAAGGTTCTGAAGCTCGGGAGTGTCCATAACCCTAGTACTTATCAGTTAAATACCGTAGAACTTAGCATACAGATTGCGAAGAGGATTTGGGGGTTCTGGTAAGCAGCAACCTTAAACCAAGACAGCAGTGCTGAAGCATACGTAACAAAGCAAACAGATTACTGGGATTTATATCTAGAAGTGTAAGCAACAGAAGTCCAGCAGTTATTTTACAACTTTATACATCATTAGTAGGGCCTCACCTATGCTCAGTTCCTCTTTACATTCATTTAACACCCTTGCAAACAGTTCATCATGACCTGGGGATTTGTTAGGTTTTAGTTTCTCTATTTGTCTGAGGACCATGTCACTAGTTACTGCAATCATACATAGTTTATTATTATCCTGTTCTACATAATCTATTATTTCGGGAGTATCGCTAGTACAATGGACCCCCGGTTTACGATCAGCTCCCAATGTGACCAATTATGTAAGTGTATTTATGTAAGTGCGTTTGCATGTGTATGTTTGGGGTTCTGAAATGGACTAATCTAATTCACAATATTCCTTATGGGAACAAATTCGGTCAGTACTGGCACCTGAACATACTTCTGGAATGAAATATCGTAAACCAGGGGTCCACTGTATTTTCCTGGGTGAAAACTGGGAGGAGGTAGGTATTGAGAATTTCACACACATCCTTATCACTGTCAGTGATCTGACCAGAGTTACTCTTAAATGGGCCAATCTTGTCCCTAATCTTACTTCTGTATACCTGAAAGAACCCTTTTGGGTTAGTCTTTGAATCCCTTGCGACTTTAGCCTCATAATCCCTTTTTGCTTTTCTTATTCCTTTCTTTATTTCTCTCTTTAATTGAATATATTGATTTCTTAACTGCCCATCCCCTCTTTTGATACGCCTATATATGCCTCTCTGTTGACCGATGAGATATTCTAATCTATTGTTCATCCATTTGGGATCATTTTTGTTAGATCTAATTTCCCTACTCCGAGCAAAAGTTGTCTGGGCAGCTAGAACTATGCTCTGAAAAACGTCATATTGGCAACCAAGATCACCTACCTGGCCCATAGTCAGGACATCTCAATTTAGCCCACCCAGGTAATTTTTCAGTCCCATGAAGTCGGCCAAGCGAAAATCAGGGACAGAGATTTGATTGCAGTTATCTGGGTAATTCCATGATATATTGGAACTAAGTGATTTGTGATCACTTTCCCCAAGCTCATCATTAACCTCAAGATTATTAATTAGTGAATCTTGGTTGGCAAGAACCAAGTCAAGCAGATTGTTTCCTCTAGTTGGTTCTGTCACAACCTGTTCTAAAAAGCAATCCTGAACTGTATCAAGAAAGTCACTAGACTCAAGATTTCCTGTCATACTGTTCCAATCAATTTGTCTAAAGTTAAAATCTCTCATTATCACAACATTTTCATTCTCACAAATAGAAGATTTACTGTTATGCAGACTACTGCATTAGTGTAGAAATGGTATAAATAATACCAGCGCACTTGTGAAAGAATATTAGACTCGCCAGTTGACGTGTATTGGACGCTTGGCATGATTTGTTTACTTTTGAACTTTGGTAAAAACCGAACATTTCTGCTACTCTGAGCTCCATTTCAAGGTAATATGTCTTCTATTCTATAAAATGAGACCAGGAAAACTAAAATACAACCATAAATACCATATGAAAATACACTGCAAAGTCGCTGTTGTAAACCAAAAACACAGTCGAAGTTTTTTTTTCTCATTATGCATTGTGTGCTGCAGGATTTTTTTAATACTGTGCACACTGACCACAGACCCATTCTTTCATATGTAGGCCTACCAGCTTTCTCTCACTAGATTTGAAGGTGCCAGAATTTAGGCGTACTAGTACGTCAATAACCCTGGTGTTTAAGCCGTACTAGTACATCGGAAACCCTGAAAGGGTTAAATTTCCAGACAAAATGGAGAGACGCAGATCTCAGGTAGGGAAGGGTGAACCATGTAACGAGCTTTGGTCATAATTTGAAGTGTCTGTATTAGCCAAATGCAATAAAGCAGGGCCCTCCTGTACATCAACACAACATCAACTCCTGTTACAATTGATTTTCACTTTACTCTAGTTCTCTCCTATATTTAATGTCAGACTAAACATGAGAGGTAAAAGCACTATATTTGGAGACTACTGTACTTTTTTTTTGGCATAGATCAACATAAAGCCAACCCAAACTAAATGTTTCACAATTATTATCCCCAGCAATGTTACACAAGTGCATGTGAAAAAACATTCTTACATTTACTTTCAGACGTTCTGATGTCCATAACCTTTAGAGAAGATTCAACAAAGTTGAACTGGCAATCCCAAGGAATGCTTCCAATACATACCAAACTATACTTTCCTTCCTTCAACCCTAAAACACACTAACACCACTTTGGAAAAAAGTTATCTTTCTTACCAATCAAACGACTTTCACAAAGCAACACCAGTGCTGCCATAGCAACCAGTACATCCATCATACTCACTAGGACCAAAGTACATAACCTTGAATTCCAGATTGTGACCAAGGGAAAAAATGATAAAAACCTACGCATGCACAAGACAACCTGAACAACATGTATACAACACCAGATAACCACCAGCTTAGCCTGTGAGTGTTCTATACAGTGTCTGTTTAACCCTTTTCCCCCTCCTTGAAAAGAGGGAAAAAAGGGAGTGTTCCCATGACTGTTATTCCCCTTTATGTAAAAGTATGGGAGGGGAATTGATGGTACTCCCAAGCTGCCTTGAGGAAGAGTTCCCATCAAGACATGCCATGTGCTAGGTTTCCTGTGAATTCATTAACTGTAAACTTGCAATATGAGTTTATACCCAGTTGATTTCTGGGTCTCAGATCATCGATGAGTATTATGAATATAAGTGTGGCTGACATTCTCTCACATACTGAAAGTACTCTTCTCTCATCTTTGCCAGCAGTTTGGCAACAATGCCCTGGGTAGAGGCCTGATGCAGGCTGAGCAGTCTGACTCTTGAATGTCCATGGACAGTCTTCAGTTTAGCACCAACAGTACACATCAGAATGTATGCCTCCTGTGCCATGAGAACTAAGGAGCCAGATTAGTAGCCACCCATAGTTTAACATGTTCTAGACGTCTATTAAGAAAAATGTGCGAGAAAATACTGAGACTCACTTTAAATGTTAGAGGATTTTCTGGACCTAAGCAAGAATCCACATTCTAAGGATGGACTTGATGTTATAGGCACTTTAGTGAATCAAGTGTCAGCAGTAACAATACAACATTTGGGCATCATCATAGCTCTTATCACCGATCAGGACATTAGTTGAATGACATCCTGTCCAGCAAAACACACCGAAGATCCCAAATATTCTACCTGGGTACTGGCCCAGTTCTCTTTCCTTACCATGTTCATTAAATAGATTGTGTAAGGCAGGCAAGGACTTGATTAAAGCATAGCAGTGTTGATATTAGGGCAAGTGAGAGGTCATCAAGCTATGGGGCCTGTCAAAGTGTTATTAACATTTTGTATATTCATCCTTCATGTAAAAGTCCCAATTTATCCAGTGATTAGGTGTACTGGATCATTTATCATGGTCTGAACCCAAGAACCGGGCATCTTCATGGGCTATCCGGGGGAAAGCGTAACAATGTCCAGTGTACTTGTCGAGGGTGTGTCCAACAAACATTTCAGAGGTATGTTGCAGCTGGTATTCTCTGGGTGGAAGACTGACACTAAGTCAGAATCGGTCAAGTCAGTAATACATATTTTTCCCAACACTAGACACTCCCAAAACAAAAATGCATAGAAAAAAGCATTTACAACATCTTTTCATATGTGTAAAAGTTATGCAAATTTTAAGGCAGCTTCTTCTCTGTAATACCAGCACAATAGACCCTGCCATCACCTAACAACCACCAATACCACAACAACCACCACCGTCACTACTACACCTTTCAATTGTTTACACTGGCTTGATAAAGCCTCTGGCAAGCATAATATCGATGAGTAAGACATGTGCGTCAGCTGGGCATCTTTTTTTGTTGAAATGTTTAAACTACACAGTAGGCTTTATCAGTCAACTACAAGGGACAAAAAGGCACAAAGGACCCCAAAAAAGTCACTTCGACCTTTTTTGGGTTACTCTAGGTACTCTACACATATGCTGCTATGTATGATACTCTATGTAACTGTAGATGAATGGCTCAGAGAACCGACAAGTTGATAAATTAGACATGTGCAATATTTGGGTATCTTTAATGAGGAAACTTTTTGCCACACAGTAGCTTCATCAGTCCATAGCAAGGAGAATGGTGAAGAACAGAAGTCGTTTGAAGTAATCAGTCTTGAGTCGATGTGATCAGTCCATCAATCTTGAAAAGAATATAGGATATGTGCGAAGAAATGGCTTATATACTACAGGCAAGAGAGGTGCAGCAGTCGTAGGTGTTATCACATTTGACGAATGTGAAAGTAGATCATACCACCTACAACTGCTGCACCTTTCCTGCCTACAGTATATAAGCCATTTCTTTGCACATATGCTGTATTCTTTTCAAGATTGATGGACTGATCACATTGTCTCAAGGCTGAAGGACTGGTTACCTCAAACTCCTCCTGTTCTTCACCATTCTCCTTTGTATGGACTGATGAAGCCACTGTGTGGTGAAAAATTTCCTCATTAAAGATACCAATGTCGCATATGTATCTAATTTATTTTATGTAACTGTATTTTTGTATACCCGAATAACTTACTTACTTTACTGGAACAATATTTCAAATAACCCCCCACATAGGAGATAAAAGTTTATGCTGACGTTTTGGTCTGACTTGGAACATTGACAATCACACTAGCAAAATGATATATACTGGCTCCCCCACCCTCCTATGTGCAGGTTATTTGTGTATACAGAGAAGAATGTATTTTAGGCAGCAGTAGTAGTGTGAGAGGTAAAGATGACTGGGTGTAATCAGTATATCAATCTCAGAGAAATAGTTTGATGTGGTCAGTCCCTCAGCCTGGAGAAGAGCTCAGCTCCATGGGCTGAAACAATACGGAGCTGAACTCTTTTCCAGGCTGAAGGACTGACCACCTCAAAACTATTTCTCCCAAAATGATGGACTGACTATTTTATATTATCTTTACCACCCATTTCTCCTGCCCGCTACAATAGTTGCACATGCATCTTATCAACTTCTTGTTATTTTATACCATTTTCAACAAGCAAACTATTGTTTGCAATAGCCTGATAAGAGTTCCCAGAGAGTGAATGTAGCAATAGTTACTCATGTCAATTTGTCTAACAATGCCAACACCCAGTACAGTATTCTAATTCTCAAATATTCTACTGTCCCTCAACAACTAGGGTAGACTTGTACAGGAGACAATGTACGAAAGAAGTGTTTTTTGACAAGGTCAGGGTAGATTTAAACATGAAGACTGCTATACTAGTCTAGCTGGCTTAAAACTTTATAATGCACCCTATCCTGCAGACAGTAGTCAAAAAATTAAGAGAGGCACATAATGGGTCCAGAGACTGCATATCCATGTAATAGTAGTTAAGAAAGTTAATGAACTACTTACAAGCTTTTAATTTAGTTACAATCCTAATTTTTTCTTAATTTAACAAGCAGAGAAAATAGCATAAGCAGTACCTTTCTATAACTAGGGAAACTTGCACAACATTTTTTTTTTTTTTTAGAAGACTGTATAATTTTTTTTATAAAGGATCTTTATAAACAAATGTTCTTCAGTATTTGCATCTTACCTAATGATAATGTTCTTCCTCTGGAAATGAAAGAATGCTTGGATGGACTTGCCTGCAGATCTCCAGCAGTTCTAGGGTGTTTATATAGTGTTTGACTCTGCTGAGATATCGAACAGGAACCTGAAAGAAATTTACAAAATATTATCAATATTGTACGGTATGAGATACCAACATGATGGTAAGGGGAAGACACACAGTTGTGTAGAACTTTTAGTGATGACAGTTTTCTTGAGAGGTGAACCTGATAAAGCCTACTGTGTACAAAACATCACTAATCCGGTAGGCCATCACTAATCTGGTTCCATCACTAATTTCGGCTAACATAACTTCAAATTTCCCGGGTTGCCTCACCAACCTGCTGTACTTGCTGAACAAACTGTTGGTGTCACTTGCAAACATAGGCTAGCAATTCCAATTTGTTTTTCTCCGTTTATTGTTATAACCTGCTCGCTTTAACCCCAAACATAGTTCCAATGAATAAAGAAAATGCTTCTCGTTGTGTAAAGAGCAAACGCTGTACAAAGTCCATGAAAGACAAGGTTGAACTTCTGGAAAAACTTGACAGCAGTGTGTCTGTGAGAAGCTTGTGTGAATTATACAGCACTGGCTCTTCCACAGTTTATGACAAAGAAAAATTACTTTTCTTTGCTAACAGTGATTCAAAGAAGCAGATGTGTAAAATGAATGAAGGAAAATGTTGAGAACTAGATCAAGCTCTGATGAAGTGGTTTAGGCTACGTGTAAGTAAAGATGTCGAGTTGTAAATTTCAGCTCTTCACTTTAGAAGCGGCAGTGATGACCTTTCTTGTGTAAGTCAAAATGGTTAACTTTATTTACCCTTTCATTGTTGGTACCATTGTATCAGGGCTTTGAAGCCCACTGGGAGCAAGTTTGTGAGCAGGGGTCACTACAGTGAAAGGGTTAAGAAACTACAAGCTATCGGCATGGGTACTGTAGACTGGTTTAAATCCTACCTTAGCAACAGGAAACAAATTCTTAAGATCAACAACATAGAATCAGAACCCATGTCGATAACATGTGGGGTTCCTCAAGGTAATATTCTGGGTCCTTTACTATGGGAACAAGTCAACCATGTCCTCAATGAAATAAGCTGGGAAGATATCCTAAACAACACAGATCTGACCTAGAAAAAAAATAAGCTGTGTGGCTCTTGAGATTGCTCAAGGCACATTCCATTAAGAAAAAGAAAGAGATGTAAACCAGAAAGAGAGACTCCCTATACAGACAAAGGTAAAGAGTCACAGAGCTGCTGAGAGGGGCCAATATATCTGAAATATGAAGGGAGGCACTGGCCAATGAAATTGCAAATATTGAACTGAAGGAATCTTACAGGAGACAAGAATCACAGGAAGAACTAAAAGGCCATAAAGGAAATTGAAAAAACCAAAATACTTTTTCTTAGCAAATCTAAGGAAAAAAACAAACATCCAGTATGGGCCCCTGATTAGGCGAGATGGGACATACACAGATGCAACCAAGTAATGAGTGAGATACTAAAGTCCCAATTACGACTCAGTTGTTCACGGAGTTGCTGCCCAGACTAAGTGTCGATAAATTAGACACACATTGCAAAACACTTGGTATCTTTAGTGATGGAAACGGTTTCGCCACACAGTGGCTCATAGGTCCCCCCCGTTCACTCGTGAAGAACACAAGGAGTTTGAGGTAATCAGTCCTTCAGCCTTGGAAGTCGATGTTGTTCTTTTATCGGTCCATCAATCTTGAAAAAGAATGGACGACAACCCAAATTATTTTTTATGAATTGAGACCCAAAATGTTGTATCTCAAAAACCTCAGCTATATATCCTAATCTCCTCACTTAGCAATTGTACTCGTTTACCGACGCCCCAGACTTACGACGGGTCTCTCTGACTTAGTATAATGCCTAATAATGTATATTAGCGAGCTGATTTCTTATTCTTTTATACAATATACGTACACTACTTTATAAAACATTTCAAAGCATACCAGAAATGGTTAGAAATGGTGCAAAGGTGACATTAAAGAATATCAAAGATGAGCGGACACAACCCACTACATTATAGTATGCGCCTCACTTAGCGATGAATTTATTTAAATTTGTGGATTCTTAGAACAGGAACTCCACCATTATGCATTATTAGTTATGCATACTGTTCAGAGAGCCTGTGTAGTCCAAGTTTTTTAGTGAATGAGTATGTTTCTAGGTGAGGAGAGGATGAACCTGGAAATATCCTAGAGGGATCAGGTATCAATTTGCATACAAAAAATCTCTCTTACCAGAAAGCAAAAGATCGGCAGGCAATGTAACATCCCTCCAGTGAAAAGCGGGGAGCCCCCCCCGTGCCCTCCGCGAAAACACATTAATGTGTCAGAGGCCCAAGATTATTACTGCCTCCCAGCACACATAAGAGGGATTACCAATAGACCCCTAGCTGTCTTCGAGAAGGTGCTGGACAGGCACCTTAAGTCAGTATCTAACCAGCCGGGCTGTGGTTCGTATGTCAGTTTACATGTGGCCAGCAATGACAGCCAGGTTGATTAGGCCCTGACCCACCGCAAGGCCTGGTCACAGACTGTGCTGCGGGGGCGTAACCCCACGGAACCCTCTCCAGGTAACATTCCATGGCAGTGCATGAGGGGTAAAAAAATTGTGACCAGGTTTTTGGTTCAACCCTTTGACTGTTTTGGCCGTACATATACAGGTCTCCCTCAACATTCACATTTTCAACTTTCACGGGCTTCACACATTCGCGAATTCCCAACCGCCAAAATTCCAGCCACCAAAATATCCAGCCGCCCAAATCCTATTTAGTTTCCGCCACTGCGAGTCCCTACTACCCTCCTCGACCCCGCAACTGGCAGCCAGCCCTCTCACCACTCAGTGTGGTGAGTGTTTTGTTTATTCACTATTTGCTATTAAACTACAGTATAAATAATGTAAACCCATTCATGACTGCATATTGCGAATGGCTATTTCGAACAGGTATTTAGTACGGTGAGATCATGCGTTTACTCTTTAACACTGCAAAGAATTAATCATTTCTTCCTACAAGCTAATAATAACAATAGTAGTAGTAAGTATTACTCATATAATAATAATAATAATAATAATAATAATAATAATACCATAATAAAATAATAAATTGATATAATTGAAGAAAAGAAATTGTACAAAAATACGAGAGAGTGGTGACACATCGTCAGTGTGACTTGGTTTATGCTGGAGTAACATTAGTCTCCCTGCTCTCAACATTTCACAATAATTCATTTTGTTTGGTGCTTGTAGATTGGAGTGTGATGCGAGTGGTAGAGGCAGTGATTGAGGACAATGGTATTTATAACATACATGTTAATAATAATACATGTTATTAATAATATGTACTATTATTGTTTATAAAACATATTTGTTATTAAATACCACTGCCTCAACCGCTGAATTATTGTGAAATGTTTGAAGAGCAGGGAGAATAATGTTCACTCCAAAGCATAAAACAAAGTCACACTGACGATGTGTCAACCACTCTCTCGTATTTTTGTACAATTTCCTTCTTCTATTATATCGTATTTGTTATTTTTTATTATTATTTTTATTCATTTATTATTATATTATTTTTATTATTATTATAATTATATTGTTATTATTATTATTATTTTATGTTTTATTAGCATAGGCAGAATGTTTGATTCTTTGCAGTGTTCAGAGTAAACACATGATGTCACCGTCTGATAGCCGTTCCAATATGCAGTCTTGATGAGTTTACTTATTTATTCTGTAGTTTAATAGCATATAATGAACATACAAAACACTCACCACACTGAGTGGTGGGAGGGCTGGCTGCCAGTTGTGGGGGTGGAGGGAGGGTAGTACGGTACTGCAGTGGTGAGGCAGTGGTGGAGGCAGTGGTGGTTGCAGTGGTGGGAGTCTGTGTTATTTAATTAACATCATGTTGTTAACATACATGTTATTAAGTAACATACGTTATAAAGCATAACATGTAAATATTTAGTACAATTACGACGTTTTCATGTAATTTTATGATTATTTCATGGTTCAACAAGTTAAGGAAGCAGTATTGTGATATAGTTCCCTACAAATATTGGGGCACCAAACATCACGGTTTTCAACATTTCGCGAGCGCTCTTGATCCCCTAACCCTCGCGAATGTTGAGGGAGGACCTGTACGTTCTACATGCCGTGGTTCGGACGTTATATATTACTCAATAATTCTAGAGGCTTCAATAAAGCAGGAGAATGCTGGTAGGGCACATGTGAGAGAACGGGCTGGTGCACTGTTAAAAAAATCCTACAGCACACAGTGCATAATGAGAGAAAAAAAAACTCCGACCGTGTTTCTTTGGATTAAAACACCGACTCTGAGGTGTATTTTTTGTATAGTTATTTATGGTCATATTCTCATTTTCTTGGTCTCATTTGATAGAATGGAAAACATGTTACAGAAATTGAGAAGATTTTGATGAGTTTCACAGGCAACTCCAACACACCTCAAACCTCACTACAAACCCACTAAGGTGAATTTTATGCACCTATTTTATTCCTGAAGAAGTGACCCAAAGCAGTTGGGAGAGTATGACCACTCGTGACCATGAGGCAGTGATCCTTAACCTTTCTGAGTCAGAACACCTCATCTGAGAATCACTCTCAGGGTCAAACGAAATAAAAAAATAAAAATTCTTATGAAATAAGAGAATATTTTCCAAAAGGATAATGAAACCAAAAGTATGAATATTTTTATAGAAAAACTTATGGAATTATGCTCTTGCGAGTTAGCAGTCTCAGTGATATTTATGAATCGTAATTTCACCCACTCTGAGCCCTATTTTTCAGCCAATTCACTTGTTCGGTGACAAACTCATAGCTATTTCGCTACTATTCTCCTTGACTGAATACAGGGAAACTGCCCCATTCTACCCTATTTCAACTACCCAATCAAGTGATCAGAAATTAGTATTTTTACCAATTGCACAAAAAATTAAAAATTTTCAAATAAAACCTTTGACTGTTTTCAGTCGTATATACAGTAGGAGCCTCAAAAATCGAACGTATCCATATCGAACGTTCGAAAAATAGGGACCATTTTTTGGACAAACACTCTGTG